ATTCACTACTAATTCAACAATTACATTGCATTAGATCCTCTCATGACGTCCTTAGATTAAGGCTCAATAATATTGTTTGTCATGACTATAAAAAAAAGTTAGTACAAAGCTACAACATTAAATGCAACATATGTCGATTCAATGATATGGGTAGCGCCAGGGGCGGACTTACAATGGGGGCAACTATTCCCACTAGAATTTTGAAAAATTTTGGGAAAAAGTTTAAAATTTTAGAATATGATAGAGATTGTCTCCACTAAAAACTTTTTAAACTTAACGGTAATCACATGTTTATTAAAATTGTTATGATTCCTTTCATATTTGAATAATATTAAAAAAATTTTAAAAATAGATTTAAAAATTAAATTTAATAATTATAATCATTGATTTTATTAACTTTATCGGCTTCGTGACCCACCATCAAACCTTGGCACTAACACGTCTATTTCTTTTTGTCTCTATGCTAGCTTTTTATTTTTGCTTTAGCCATTCATCTTTCTGTCTCCAAGCCACCGCAACTTTTCTCTCTCTCTCTCTCTCATACACACACACACAAATTAGCACACAGTCACCCGTCCACCACAGCTCTCTATGTAAGTTTGATTTGTTAGACTTATTGTATATTTAATTTTCTTAAATTATTTATAGTAAAAATTGATCAATTTTTCTAAAGTCTTTGGGATTAAATAATGGATACTAAGTTTGTGTTTGGCTAAATAAATAAACTTTAGAATCATCAAGAAATAAATTTCTTCAGATAAAATACCAATAAAAAAATTTCCTATGATGAGCTTTTTTTTTTTTAGGTTGTTCTTTTTGTATGTCGCTTGTAAATATGGATTGTATCATTAGTGTTAACATTGAGAGTTTGAATATTTTTATGTTGAAGATTGTCCCCACTAGAAAAGTTATCTGGCTCCGCGTGTGGGTGGAGCTAGTTGAAAAAACACATGACATGGGCGGATTAGACAAATAAATTAAATTCAACTACTATCACAAATTTGTTTGGGTTAATTTTTCCTTTTTTTTTTTTTGTTAGTCTATGGTATTGAAAGAATAAATTTCGGTATCATACCCCCATTTAACACATTTGTGTATATTTTTATCATTATTGTGGGTGTTTTTATTATTGTTATGGTACCAAAAAAATAATTACTACAGTAGTTGTAAAAAAAACCCACAAAACGTGATAAATTACCAAAAAAGTGGTAATTTTTTTTTTGGACCGAAAAAAAGTGATAAAAATAATTACAGTAATAATGATAAAAATACTTACAAAAGTGATAAATCAGTTATAAAAATAATAAATTTTTTAGTTATAATAAAAAAATTATAAAAAATTATAAATATATCGGACAGAATTTTTTTTTGTCGGTACCTTAGTAAAGTCCTCGTCAGTATAGCCATCAGTGCCGTAGTGCGTAGTTGGTGAGAAATTTTTGCATGGGTATTACAAACCATGTGGCTGACCCAAGTGGTGTGCATATCCGATGAATGCTTGCCAAATTTCAGAAGAATTTTTAAAGAAGCCAAGTCATCAATTGAGCTGGGTTTGTTGACGGAAAGTTAACTCTGAAGTTAACGGGGGAAACTACAAGAAAAATTTAGCACGAAACCCTGGGTGAAGAACTCTTTCCAAGATTTCTCAAATTTCAAAACCCAATTAAACCTTTGGGTTATCTCTCCATCAGGAGAAAATATTCGATCCTTATCATGTACAGGTTGTTATTGACAGTTGGTATCTCTCCTTTAATTTCTGTTTCTCCATTACTTCAAGTTTCTTCTATCTCTTTGCTCATCACCGGTGAAGATGGTGACCCGGCCACATCCAGGTTGTATCGGTGGAGGAGCAGGTAAGTTTTTTGATCTCTCTAACGAGTCCAACGTCCTGACCACTAACGAGTGCTTCAATTGATTTTATCTCTTTTTTCTTGAATTTCTCTTGTCAGTTATTATCTCTAAAGTTAAAGAATACATATTGAGTTTTGTTGAAATTTAAAAACTTCAAAATTCAAAACCCATCTCTTCATCACCATTTCTTTCTCTCTCTATAAATTTTTTGTCTTCGTCCCACAGCACAGTTCACACCCATTATTTGGTTCTCTCTCTCTCTAGACATCACCGGTGAAGCTAGGTGGAGACCTGGAAATACCCTGATTGTGTGAGTGGAGGAACAGGTAAGAAATCATCTTTCCCTTTCTAAAATGAGAAACCATTTAAGGGCAACTGTTGGCCATGAATAAACCAAAAAATTGAAGGTGTTTAGTATTTTTCCTTTACAGGTTGATTCAAGAGTAGTATTTTTCATGAAGAATTTCAGAGAAATGGAAACATAAGAGAAGAAGAATATGTCGACAGAGAGAATTTCTTATTTCTGACTAATTGCAAATGGTGTTAGTTGGCCATGGCAGTAGACTTTTATATATGAAATGAAGGAGAAAATTGTATTTGTTGATTATTTTATCCATGTTATTTTGTAATCAGAAGTTAGTTTTGTGATGATAATGACAAAAATAGTATGTAATGAACTGATGAATCTTCCGGTTCACAAAAAAATGAGTTGTGAGGTGTAGATCTCTAAATCTCTCATCTTTTCCCACACCACATCACTCCATCTCTTTCTGTTTCTCTCTTAATCCAAATCTATTCACTCTCTTTTGCACATCATTGTATGAGGTGTAGATCCATTAGTGTATATATATATCTCTCTCTCAAGACGAATCTGTATGCGTGTGCTACAACAGGGAGATTTGCTAAAGATGTATATACATGCTTCAAAAATCTACATATTAACTTGTCTTTCTCTTTGTTTTCAGAGGGTTGGGCTTTAGTGCAACTCTTTTTCTATTCTAAAAAGTGAGTTTGATGTTGTACATCATTCTAATCAATTTTGAAGGCTTAAAAGAAGAAAATGAGTTGTTGGAGGTCAGATTGCAAAGAAAACTAATGAAGGGAAATTTCCATTTGAGAGACAAAAATGAAGTTCTCTTTGGTACATATGTTTGTTTTACCGAGAATTCCACTGGTTGCACAAATAAAGCTGCGGATAAGAACATTGTGGGTAAGCTGACAAATAATGGAGGGAATGTTGGATCAAATGGTAAAGAAGAAAGGAGTTTAGAGACAAAAAATAAAGGATTTTCTTTTAAGAATAACTCGATTTCCCACCATGATTCTCAACATACGACAATGCACAATGGATCTCATAGGGAATGTGATATCTTTGATGGTATATAGGTGAGAGAGGATACAAAGCCATATTAACCTGCTGTGAAGTTTTGAATTAATACATGACAAAAATACATAAACTCAAAATGTCTAAAAATACTAAATAGAAAAGTCAACAAGAAAGATTATTGGACTCGTTATACAACTTTCTCTACCATTTCTCAAACAAAACTAATTTCATCACCAAAACTAAAACAGTCAACATCAATCTTGTATTAACCACCATTGCATCCGATTTGATCTATCCGATGGATGTGGAATCAAACATTGCTTGTTGCTCAAAATAAACATTGTCATCTGGGTCTTTATGGAAGGAGTTATGTAGTCATGTTCAAATTTCTACAATAACATGAATGTATCATAATCAATAGGAAAGCCCTTCTCATTTAAAATAAAAAATCATGGGACATGACTAACAAAACAAAGTATTTAAATGCATATTACATAAAATCAACATGGTATATAACCCATTTGAAAGCTACAAACGGATGTTTATACAATGACCAAAAAAAAAAAGCTACAAGAGGATATTATACACGCAGTAGATGAGAGCAAGACTATAATATAGTATTTTCACTGATTGGCTTTGGATTTTATACCTTCATTCACTCGAATTTATGAGCATTCAATCTGAATGAGGAAAAAATATCTGGAATCAATTTAGACACTTGTTGGTGGTCAGGACCTCAATGTGGCCAAGAATCGATTTACCTGTTCCTCCACCGATACAACCTCGATTTGGGCAGGTGTCCATTTTCACCGGTGATGTGCGAACAGAGAGAAGAGAGTAAAAGGAGAAACAGAGCTTGAAGGAAGAGATGTGGCGTGTGATGAGAGAGAGAGAGAAAAAAAAAGGGGGAATACTGATGGAGAGATGGCCTAAAATGGGTTTTGAAATTTGAAATTTGAAATTTGAGAAAACTTAGGCAGAGATCCTCAGGTTTCGTGCTTTCAGTTTCCCCTGTTAATTCGCATGTAAACTTCCGTTAAAAAACCCAATCAACTGATGAGTCGGCTTCTTCAAAAACTAGTCTGACAAATTGATGAATTGGCAGACATTTACTGGCTATGCACATGAGCAAAGCCACGTGGTGCGTAATTACCATGTAAAATTTTCTCGTAGTTGGTGCATCCCACATGGTTGTTGACTTATAAGCTAGACTCACGTGGCTTGTTTGGGTAAAAATTTAGGGAGGGATTTGAATTAGTTTATCTAAATTTTTTTAGACTCAAATCCCTCTTTTGTAAAGAGATGATTCAACATTTAATCTAATTCATACTCAGATATGTAACACATAAATATGTACGATTTACAAACTCATTTTGTTAAACCCCCCTGCCCCTTTACCAAACATCCCCTCCGAAGGAGATATTTGAAAAATATATTTTGTGCTCTTGTCAATTTTGTAGCAGTGTTTATTGTAGAGAAACTATACACATAAAATACTTGATTGTAGCATATAGGATTGTGTCAACATTAAATGTCAATTAAAAAAACTCTAGTGAATTTGTAGTAACAGAGACGAATTGTAAATTTTAACTGAAAAATTTATCTCTTATTAATATCTTAATCTAGATATAAATGATCTATATTTGATCAGATCAATCACGAAAGTTAGGTTAGACACTCTGACTATTGAACAAAAAAGAAGAAAAAAAACACGCTTTACAATACAGCAATAGTGGAGTAATGTCACATCTCTGGAATATGGTTGAAGAATTATCCTTAAATCAATAAAATTTCTCACCAAGGTGTTTGCTTCTATGCGAAACCGCACTACAGCGGTATAGTCAAAGAAACAAGCAAGGTCAATCATCAATGGCTGCCACTGATTCACCTGTCTCCTGTTATGATCGGATGAAGGAAGTGAAGGAGTTCGACGATTCCAAGATCGGCACCAAAGGTCTCTCCGATTCCGGCATCACCACCATCCCTAGGTTCTTCATCCACCCACCGGAAACTCTCGCCGGCCTGAAATCATCATCTTCCACTTCCGCCGGCATCCCGGTCATCGATCTCTCTCATCTCAACTCCGATGACCACCGGCGTAAGATCGTCGAACAAGTCTGTGAAGCTGCGAGAACTTGGGGTTTCTTCCAAGTGATCAACTATGGAGTACCTGTGTCAGTGCTCGACGAGTCGATTGCTGCTATCAAAGCGTTCCATGAGCAGCCGAGAGAGATGAAGGCAAAGCACTACGTACGTGAAGAGGGACGGGGTGTGATGTATGCTAGCAACAACGATCTGTATCGAGCAAAGGCTGCTTGCTGGCACGACTCGCTGCAGGTATTAATTGTTGGGGAAATTTATTATTTATTATTTTTACAAATATATTGATTGGTAAAAATATATTCTGACAATAAATTACTAATCACATATAATCGCAATAATTTCGTGCTTGAAAATACTGTATAGTACCAAAAATTAATGTTTTGTTTGGTACAAATGATTAAAAATATGAGTAATATATTTTTTATTTTTTAAAGAATGAAAATAAGAATGATACATTTTTTTTTGTGATTGGTAGAATGAATTGAAAATAAAAATAATTAATTTTTTTTTTAATTTAACTAAGATTAGGGATGACATTCAAGTCGTGTCGTGTTAAGTCATTGTGGATTCGTATCGAATATTAATCAAACATAATTCAATTAATTTAACTAATTGTATCGTGTCAAGTTGACCTATTTATTTTCGTATCGTGTTTGTGTTCGTATTCATACTGACCTATATAAAATTTGAATAAAAAATTTAACACTAATATTTTATTTTCACTTAATTGAATCCATGCTCGTACTTTTTCTACAAACTAAAAATTAACTTGAAGAAATAAATAATAAGTAAAAATATCTTTTTTATATAATAATATGTCAATGTTTAATAAATTGTTACAAATAATTAACATTTTATATTTATAATACTAGATAAACATGTTAATTTCGTATTGCATACAATGACAAAATATAGAAAATGTTTATTCCTAAATAAATGGGTTAATGGTGTCAATTTTGGGTATGACGGATTGAACTGAATATGAGCCGTTTATATTTTGTGTTCGTGTGTTAGGTCATTTTCAAATTCGTGTCATCGTGTTGAGTCGAAAATTTTCACCCCTAACTAAGAAAGAAAAAAATATTTTTTAATTTTAAATATTTTTTAATTTTTAATTTTTAAAATTTTTATTTAAAAAAAATAAAAATACTTATATAAAATTAATGTATACATAATATATGTATATATTAAATGATATATAGATAAATAAGATATATTTCAACACAAGTAATAATTTTTCATCTACTTTCCTTTCGATTTTAAAGGGATTGATTTTTGTTAGTTGGAAGGAAAGTTTATTCGTCCATTTTTTCATCCTTTTTATTTTTCTTCTTTACCAAACATGATATTTTATTTATCTCTCAAACCTTCTATCATTTCAATTTTTCATAATTTCATTTTTTCATCATATCAAACGGAGCATAAGCATTAATTGTGTAATATTTATATTATAAATAATAATTTTTTTCTTAATTATGTAATTTAAATTTACAATGGACAAAAATAAAATAAGATAGGTATGGAAGTGAGAAGAGAGTAGAATGTCTAAACTAGAAGTGTGTTAGTTGTGTATTTGAGCAAAAATAATATTTTTAATGAATTTTGTATTATTAAATTAATATTTACCGTTGTATTTTTATAAATTCAGAATTCAATATTTTACCATAGTATGAGAACTTGACTAAATATTGAATCGGCTGAGGGAGTCAATGGTTCACTTATTCAATCGTTGTGTCAATTGATCAGACCGAAAGTATAATAAAAAAATAATAAATAATTATTAATAAAAATGAATATTCTAAAAATAATAATAGTTATAGAACTTATATGTTTTATGTTATTTTTTTATTATCCAAACCGTCCGGTCTGTATGGGTTAAGTAAAAACCATCTGGTTTTACCGGTTCATGGGCGGTTTAGTTGCGTAAACGATCTTATTTATAAACTGGCCTGCCTTGGGCACCGGTTGGATGGTTTCCCGGGTTGTCTGGTTTTAATAACACTTCTTTTTCCACGTAATATTAAATAGATGAAAATATGAGAATATACTAATAATGATATAAACATGTGAATTTAACCGATTACAATTAGGACTGATAATGTCGAGTTTATTTTTTTAAACGATTCTAAAAAATTATTCAAGTTCGCAAGCCTAAACAATCCCAAATCGAGTTCAAGTATTTATACATAAACGAGTCAAGTCTGTTGAGTTTAAACCGAGTTTGTCAAGTTTGTTTTCTAAACGAATTTAACATTATTCGAATTTGACTTGTTTATAACATGATTCAAATCCGAATCGAACTTGAATAGCTTGGTTCGATTATCAGCCTTGATTGTAATGATTCAAATGTTATACCAAATGTTCATTATTAAATATAGGAAAATTTTCAGTGACACTCCTATTTTATCATATCTTTAAAGACACCCCTCTATTTTTTGAATTTTCATTAACACCCCTGTTTGATAAAAGTTGTTAAATAGAATACAATTTTACTAAATTTTCTATGATATATTTTAAGAAAAATTTCATCTATACTCCATCTAGATAAAACATATCTTCAATGAGACCTCTTCTATTTGTTAAATTTTTTTACGTATTAAAATTCGGACAGATTAAAATTCGATTCGAGGTAATTAAAAGTTATTTTTTATGTATTAAAATTCTAGTCGATTAAAATTATATTTTTTTATGCATTAAAATTTGATTCGAGTCGATTAAAATTCATTTTTAATCGGTTCGAATCAAATTTTAATCAACTCGCATTAAATTTTAATTGACCCGAATTTTGATTCATAAAAAAATATAAATTTTATCTACTCAAATTTTAATACATAAAAAATCAATTTGAATCGAATTTTAATTGACACTAATTCTAATAACTAAAATAAATATAAATTTTAATCGACTCAAAATGAATTTTTATTGGTGCTTACAATTTAGGTAGAGTTCAAATCGACTCAAATTTTTATACGTACAAAAAGAATTTTAATAGGTTCAAATTTTAAGTCATAAAAAAAATAAGTTCGAATATAAATTTAATCGGCCTAAATTTTAATACATAGAAAAACGAATTTTAATTGGCTCAAATTTTAATATGTAAAAAAATAAATTTTAATCAAATTTTATATAAAAAAACTATTTGAGATTTATGTATGGACAATTTTAGTATTTTAGATAAATTCATTTTTAGAAATGATAGGTTAATAGTAGAGGATGTCTGTGATGTTTAAATATAACGTAATAGGGGTGTTGGTGATATTTTGAATGATATAGGGATATCTTTGGAGCTGAAATTTTTCCCTGAATACGTATAAGAGCTGAAAATCATATAAAATAAAGTACGATCCATGAGAAATTTCAAAACTTTCTGTTTTACTCCACCAGGTTTGGATGTCACCGGAGCCACCAAAGGTGGAGGAAATACCGGAGGTGTGCCGGAGAGAGGTGGTGGAATGGGACATACATGCTAAGAAGGTGGCTGATACAGTGATGGAGCTGTTATCTCTAGGGTTAGGGTTGGAGGCTGGAAAGTTCAAAGAATTAACATTTTCTGATGCTAGGGCTTTTGTGGGCCACATCTATCCCTACTGTCCACAATCTGATCTGACGATGGGAATTACATCTCACACTGATCCTGGGATTGTTACTGTTTTGCTGCAAAATCAAGTGCAGGGTCTGCAGGTTAAACATGGTGAGGAGTGGGTGGATGTGAAACCTTTGCCTGGAGGATTGATTATTAACATTGGTGACTTTCTTCAGGTACGTGCACAAGTGTTTTTATCGTAAAATTATGAAATTTGTACGTAAAATTATTTTTCAATATGATATTAGAAGTTAATTATGACGTGTTGAAATTCAAATGAATTAAGTTACAATATAAAAACGTTTAAGTACAAGTCTCACCGATGAATTCAACCAACCCGTGTGAAATAAAGTTCTAAATTTCTTATAGAGAAATCACTGGTACATAACGAAAGGCATATTTTTATTCTCATGCTCATTAATTATTTTTCGAACCCCTGATTTCTTCAATCTCTCCAGGTAGTCTCTAATGGCGAGTACAAAAGTGTGCAACATCGAGTGTTGGCAAACTCCTCCAGGGAACCAAGAATCTCCATCGTAATGTTCTTCAACCTTTGCAAATGGAACGAATCTGGTTACTATGGACCTCTGCCGGAGCTATTGACGCCCGAGAAACCCGCGATTTATCGGAATTTCACAATGCAAGAATTTAATGACAATTTTTATGGCAAGGGTTTGGATAGCAAGTCTCTGATTGAAAGAATTACTTTGTGAGTAACTATCAAATTGTGACACTGCGTGCTTGACATCCATTTCGCGCGCGTGTGTGTGTGTGTGTATAATAAGTTTCGTAGCTCTAACAATTGATCTGTCCGTAACTCATTTACATAATTAGATCTGCCAGAATGTAAAGGTAGAATCCATTGTTTTGATGGGACGGGTTGTCGATTGTATTACTCTGATTGATATGTCAGAGAAAACTATGGTATTCAAAAAACATTTAGTACCTTGTTATCAAGAAGTTTAATGAGTTGAGATATAAATTTTTGAATGTATTTACAAAAGTTATAAATAACCCCCCGAAAACTATGTTATAAAAATTACAAAATTTATTTATAATGACACAAAAGTACTAAAAAACTGGTGTACTCCACTAGTAACTGTTTAATAACTATCAATAAAAGAAAAGAATTCAAACTCACCATCTCCATTCACTGATAGTATAATAGATTAACATCCCTTAAATCCTACCATTTTACTTCATGGATCATGTCAAATGACTAAAATTCTATTATTTTACTACTTGAATCATATAATTAAAGGCCAATAGTTATTTTACTATCAACACCTCACTGGAAGCCCATTGGAGCGGACTCCATTTTAAGGCAAATGTATTTAGATTTAAATCCAGGAAAATCACCATCTTTCAAGTAGTAAAAGCTCCAGAATATCAAAATTCAACGACATTCAAAACTACAAGAACTGTTCAAACAACTAAGAAAGTGAGAAACAAAATTGCAACATAACCAAATGTCTCAGCCACAGCTGCCAATATGCTTTTAAAATGAAGAGAAGTGAATCACAGCCTTCTTCCCCTTCGGCCACCTTTTCTGCGAGTGCTATCGGTGGGAATTGGAGTCACATCCTCTGGGAAAAAAAAACAGGCCAAGTTAAATATGAGATTGTCTACTAAGAAAGCAGTAGGGTGGTAAAGTTTTAATAAAACAAACAGTACCACTCCATTGTAAATGTAAATGTTGTTGGACTTGGAATTTTCACAAGAATCAAGAACAAGAATGAAGGTACTTTCAAGAGTTGTTGATAAATCGTAGGCCAAAAAAAACCACCATTGGACAATGATAGAAGTCAAACAGAGCCAACGGCCAGATAAAACTCCAAGTAGACAAACATACCTATGCGACCAATTTTCATGCCTGTGCGAGCAAGTGCTCTGAGCGCAGACTGCGCACCTGGGCCAGGGGTCTTGGTCTTATTTCCTCCTGTAGCACGAAGCTTAATATGAAGAGCATCAATACCAAGTTCCTGTGAATCACCGGTGTAGCAGTATAAGTCACAATCAACGTCTGGATTTCAAACTAATTTGCATACACTGAAACCAAAATCTGTAAAATAAATGAGCAAGACCTTGCATCGCTGCGCAACATCTTGGGCTGCAAGCATGGCTGCATATGGTGAAGATTCATCCCTGTCAGCCTTTACCTTCATACCACCTGCAATTGAAGAAGGGGCAACGAACTTTAAGAGCAACCAGAGTTAAAAATGAGAAAATATAACAAAGTTTCGACAGAGAAGAAAGCTCTTTACCTTCTCTTGCCCTATGTATAAATGAAAAATAGAATGCAACAATTTAGCTTGTGAGACCAAATACAATTTGAGCTAGTGGAAGGTTTGAGTGGTTAAAGCACCGAATTAACTAGGTCTAGGTGTATGTACAAAAAATTGGTTTCTTTAAAGTTACACAGGAGGGAGGGCAAGTATTATCACAAGATATGGTACTAGGTATAGCTATCAAATCCATACTTCATAGAGAACCAGCCTCTTTGTTTCTAGCATGCCTATTATTTTAACAGATTCATATCATGGCGCATCATCCACGTGTCCCATTAGTTCTTTGCAGGTGGGAATTTCAGTATATCCCCGCTTTCACCAGCAAACTCAAAATAACCTGATAGTAATTAAGAGGCAATATAATGAGGCAAAAAGCAATATAATTGGGCAAGCCACCTTTCTGAAACTCAAAAAGTTGATTTATAGTTTTATTTAGAATCTTCCTCCTTGCTACTTGCTTTATTCTACTTAGACTTCTGCATTTTCTACAACTAGTTACAATAACCTGTATCGTAATATGTAATATAATACTACTAGTTATTAAACACCGGTTGTAGCGACGGTAAGCGGTGGTAGTGGTGGTGGACGACAATAGTGGTAATGGGAGACCACGATAGTTGTGGTGGGTGGTGACGACCACGGTGGTGATGGTAGTCGTGGGTGACAATGGTGATGGTGGATTTTGGGTGGCAATGGTGATTTTGGATTTTGGCAGTCATATGTGACGGCGACGGCAATGGTGGGTGGTGGTAGGTAACGGTGATTGTGGTTGGAAGTAGTGGTGGTGGTAGGTAACGGTGATTGTGGTTGGAAGTAGTGGTGGTGGTAGGTAACGGTGATTGTGGTTGGAAGTAGTGGTGGTGGGCGGTGACAATGGTGGTGGTGTGCGACGACGGGTGTTTGGGCGACAGTGTTATGGGTGGTGCCGAATGATAGAAATGGTTAGTGTGGTGGGGGCGGGTTACAATAGGTGGCAGTAGTGATGGGCGATGACTGCTGGTGGTGGTAGATGTGGAAGGGGTGGGTGACAGTGGCTAACAACGATGATGGGCGACAACGGGTAGTGATGAGTGGCAATGGACAACAATGGTGGTGGTGGGTGCTAACAGTGGGCGACGGTGGTACTAGAATGATGGTGGTCTTTGAAGCACGGATACAGATATGAAATTCGAGTACGATACGATACGAATACAGCGATATGACATAATCTAACAAAATAAAATACCAGTAAAGTCAAGATACGACTATAATAAAATATATTTATTATTTTTATTATTTTCAATCAACTTAATACTTATATGTTTTAGTAATTTTTTAATACAATAAGGAAAATTAATAAATTTTTTTAGTTTCAAAAAAGTATATATCGTATCACTATGGTATATTCATAAAGTGAAATGATTAATTAAAAGAATCAAAACTAATATTTATCGAGTCGATTTATTTAAAAGTAACTTTTGCTCAAACTATAACGTAATAGATTTATTTTATACTCTTTTGACATATAATTGTAGATAATACTTAAAAAATAATCATGTACCTTTGAAGTAGTATGATTTTTTGCTAATGTATTGTATGACATGTAAATTCGAAAAAAAATCTTAAAAATTTAACTCAAAAATTATATATGTTGTTTGAACACAAAAAGTATCCTTGAAGTATCATAATATTTAATTATTATAGAATACGTATGAGGTGTATTTGATATGTAAGAATACGCTCATCTCAACAAAATATCCGTACTTCATAAATGGTGGTAGTAGTAATAAATATAAGAATAAGATGACAATTGTGAGTTATAGCACTAGACGACGGTAGTAACAATTGGTAGTGGGAGACGATAGTGATAGTGTTGGAGGGGGTGGCGGCAATGGTGGTAGTGGGGGTGGGGGTGAGTCGATGGTCTTGATGGTGGTAGGGGTAATGATTGGACAGTGGCGGTGATGGTAGGGTGGCAAAGTGGTGGTGGTTATAGTGGTGGTGCGGTGGGTATGGTGGTGGGGTGGCAGCAATAGTGGTATCGACGACAATGGTGATGGTAGTGGTTGTTGCGGCAAAGGTGATGGTAGGGTGGCGACGATGGTGGTGGTGGTGGTGGTGGTGGTGGTGGTGGTGATGGTGAAACAGTTCCAAACACTACTTTTTTTTAAAATACTTATGAGAGGTTATAAGTATTAGAAGCACTTTTAAAAAGTCACTCAAAATATACCTTTAGGGGCTTATTTTTTTTATTAAATTTGGGGTGTTAATATTAGCCATCAAATTAACTTTAAAGTAAAATTTAAGAAGACCTCAACTGCGAAAAGTAAAAATCATTTTGTTTATCTTTTAAAATTTGAATTATATTGTACTTTATTATATAGTAGTAATCATAACGACTAGATGACATTGTGTTGACTCGAAAATGCTTCACATCACTTGGTTGAGTCACTAAGACACCTGATTTACACAGTATGTGAAAAAGTACTGTGACAGAAGGTGCAAAGGTGAATTCGTCTTGGCAAGTTGTATTGGTATCAGCAGAAACTTTAAACCACAACTTCAACAATGATATAAAACAAAACATATTTACCCAAAAAAGACATAAAACAAAACATAGTCAAAAGAGAAAATAACAATATATGTCAAAGTTAAGCAAGGGTTCAATTACAATATTCTTCATATGTTTAGGCATCAAAAACTTTATTATATGGGCGTTGTGTCTAGCAATGTGGGACTTGCCCAAATAACTATCTAGATATCCATCAAAACTATAAAAAAATCAAATTGTATCTCTCATTGACTTCAAAAATTAAACACAGATACACATATTTTATATTATGCACTCATTCCTTTCAGTAGAATGTCAACTATACGAATTCACAGTTCATAGTTTTGACATCAAACCATTTCAAAGTGAACAACATACTCTCAAAAAAAAACATATAATAAACCAACCATGAACCTTTTACTAGAACAAAAGACAGTGAGCCATACCAGTAATTCGAACCAATGTTTCTCTTCCAGACAAATCAGTCACATGCTGTATTAAAAATATGTAACAAATCAAGTGATTGGAACACAAATAACAGTAGAAGAAAAGTATTAATGGTCAATACTTACAATAAATGTGTCATTAAATGAAGCAAAAATGTGTGCCACACCAAAGACATGCTCCCCATCCTGCCTGGCAGGTCCAAGTGTCACGTTCTCTTCCTTAGGCTCCCTAGTCTTCCTCTTCGACTGTTAAACAGAAACCCAACAATCTAAATCAGTTAATAGATTAGACTCAAAAATAATGCCAATAGAAAATGGCTCAAAAACATAAATTTATAAATATCTCCACCTCACAAAGACATATTACAATAGCAACTAAATCATGAAGGAAAAACTTAAAGGCATATAAGTTGAAATTGAACAAAATATTGTTTATGCTGTTTTCAAGGGAGTGTTTCAAAAATCTTTTTTTTTCAAGGGAGTGTTTATGCTGTTTTCAAGGGAGTGTTTCAAAATCTTTTTTTTTCTCCTTAGGATAAAATTAAAATAAAAAACAAAAAAATCTTGGTACAGTTTTGTTTGCAAATATGCGAATGAGAAGAAAAATGGAAGTAAAGGAAAAGGACCTCATTTTTCTTTGAATGGTTACCATGGAAAAAACAATGTGAAAAGGTGGATGGAATTTCTAATTTCAGGTGTCATTCTTTAAAATTCTCACCTGATGTAGGAAATTTTTGGTATCCAATATTAATAAAGACGGAGACACAACACAATGTGAGTGAAACAATTTTCTTTTTATTTTTCCAACAACCAAACAGAGTTAAAAGCTATCAAAGGAAATACGATACTTATTCCACTTAATTTCAAATCAGACTGATCATCGATCTAAATAGAAGCTACCAGACCATACTTAGTTCTGGGAAAGAAAGCATTCTAAGCACAAGTCTAATACACTTTAACCCATTTCTGTCCAATTCAATTCAGAACGGTAATACAAAACAAAATACATGAACAATTCTGCAGGAATCAGTTTCCATCAAAACTCAAAAGCTATTCGGAAACAGAAACTGGATCATCTAGGATTCAATTTCCCTCCTTTTTTTCCCGGAAAATAAACACGGATTTAAGATTTACTCATGTCCATGTTCAGATCTAAATATGTAAAAAAACAGACACACGAACAACTTATGGAGAGAGAGAGAGAGAGGCTTACCATGGCTACGACGATGAAGAGTAGAGACTTCTCTGCGTCTCAAAACAATGAAAACCCTGATGGAAGCTCAGTAAGAAGCGTCGATAAGAACAGCTTCATTTATATGTCTAGGGTTTAGGGTCTCCAGTGGGTGAAATACCGCAAAAGTCCCTAACTCTGTTCTAAAACTGCATATGCGTCCCCGAGTTTTTCTTTTTTTATTTGGACGATGTCGTTTAGGTGGGTGCACTGTGCACAGGGCAAGTATTCTAGAGGGCAAAACCATAAAAGTAAATGAAAATTATTTACACAACCGTGGGATTTGAACCCTCGCCCTTACGGACTAGAGCCTAAATCTGGTGCCCTAGACCACTCGGCCAAACTGTACCCTTTTGAATGTTGAACGACATTTTAACAATTTTAAGTAATTAATTATCACTCTGGAGTCATTGTTCAAAGTCAATTGCTGTAAACTTGGACATTCTAGATTCAAAGTAATCCCTTAGGATTAAATCATAAGAGATAAATTTTTTATGAATTCATTAGTTCCCTTGTAAATAGTTTGCTTTTAACCAAATTGGAGAGAAATTATTCAAGGTACACATAAACTAACCTACATATTCTTAACCGTTGAACCAACAAATATATATATATATATATATATATATATATAGTGTCCCAATTGAAATGTCTTCTAAATCAAAAGTTAAATGGGCTCATTGGAAAACTTAAGACATAGTGGAGTGACTCATGCAACGAATATCACATAAAGCAATAATATTTTTGAATCTATAGTATTGCTATTCACACGAAATTTTTCATTCTAATATAGCATTGTCATCGAATTAACGGTGAATTTCATTTAATATGTGGACTTACAAACAACCCAACAATAAAAATTAGCTTGGAAAATTGCATGACCTGTAATTAAAGTACCCACCCATTTTATAGGTAATTTTGAGACTATCAAAGTAGGCCAAAAGAGAACAAAAAAACAATCACAAGCCTGGAAAAAAAGATAAAAAAGGAAGAAACAAAGAAGCTATCATCTTCAATCTTCATGGATCAAATCCTATCATTTGATAATTAAAAGGAATACAATAGATTATGTTACCAACTTGCTGACAGTGAAGAACTTAAACCTCAAAAGTATAATAATCTCAGAGGAGCTCAAATATGAATCAACATTAAAGTAGCCAAACTTCAAAAAAAACTCAAATTTTCAAACTCTAGCAATTTCAACAGACTTTTGAAGTGCTAGCAGAAGGCCTCTCATGATCCTTGGCTCCCCAGGAGCTGGCTGATCTTTTTTGGTACCATTTCTTATAGCCCGGAAAATCGGACCCGAACCATCCACTGCTGGAAAAACTAAGCAATCTATGTACACAAGGACTTCAGTCTTTCCTTCATCTTCTATTGTAATGAAGCCAAGTCTTGCTCCACCTGGAATTTTGTCAACCTGTTCAGTTCAAATGCATCACAACCCATTAAAAAGCCTTCACAGAAGATTATATTTGCATTAATGGATCGATTGAATCAATCTATCTGACGACAGAAAGAGAAATTGCACTTTGTATCAGTCTAGAGTCTGACTCTGCCAAATCACCTGAATAACAAGCAATTAGCTTATTCAAATCCCCCGATTCCGAATGTTGCCACTCAATAATGTAGTACACATTACTAATTGTCTTTTTCAAAAAAAGGCAATTTAGTGCACGAGATACCTTCTTATGCTTGCCTACATAGGTAGGCTTTTTTGGTCAAGTGCCAGCCTCGACAAGTAAAAGTAGAGGTAGCACAAATATGAGGTAAGTTAAATAAGAATCGACTTAGGGGGTTTGGACATTTTTATAGACGACTTACTACGGCACTAGTGAAAAAGAATGATATGATAATTATTGAAGATAGATAAAAGAAGAGGTAGATGAAGACCAAATTAACTTTAAATGAAGGATTAATAGTACTTTTGCTTACTAAAGTATGTATTTTTTTGTCAATTTAGTGCTTATTGTATCAATTTTATCAATTTGGTCTCTAAAGTATTCAATTCGTATTATTTTGGTCCCTGATCAAACAATCAGTCAAGTTTTTTTTTGGAAATGACCACTTGTTATTTTTTAGACAGTATCATATGTCCAACACATGATTATTACATCAAAAACTTAATGATCCGTGTATATAGGGACAAAAATGACATTATTTGAATATTTTAGGGATTAAATTGACAAAATTGATACGATGAAGACTAAACTGATGAAAAATACATACTTTAGGATTAAAAGTGATATTAACCCTTAAATGAAATAGTAAAGAAATATATTATTACTTATGGTTTAACTGAAAACATTGCCCTTGATAGAGTTCAATGGCGGAACATGATTTATGTAGCTAACCCCAAAAATGGTGGGACAAAACTTTGTTGAGTTGAGAGTTGAGTTGTCAGCCTCGACAAGGAGGAATATTTGTTAGTTTGATAGATTGGGTAATTTGTGCTGGTTTCCAATTTGGTCTATTAAGAAATTGACTCTGAAAATCCTAGTTCATTATTCTCCAAGCTCCATACAATGGATGCCTGTGACTTGCTAAAACAAAGAAACAAAAGCTGGGCTTTAGCAAGTTCAAATTAAATAAACACATAATATATAAGAACCAACCTTTAGAGGCACTGGAAGGGGCAGATTAGCACCTTGGCAGAGACTGTTAGCCCACTGTCATGTCAAAGCAACCAGGGAAAGTGGAAAAACCAGTCAAATTCAGTGAAGGTTGAGAGGTCCACAAATTCAGTAACAATGACAAAGAAAATGCAATAATGCCCTATTACCCAAGCTCTGTCTTCTTTATATCCTATGATTCTATCTTATTGAAGTGGCTACGACCCACCATTGGTAAGTGAAGAGGGCAAGGGAGTTATGTTTTGAAATTAAATTTTGTTTGATAATGATACCAAAATGTAAATTATTTCAGAGGGTGTAAGATAAATATTTCCATTCTTCAAAACACCCGTCACATGGAGTCTAGGTTTTGGTCCAAACACACGCCAGTCTTATATTAATTTAGGATAGAGACGAGATTTTGATGTAAAGCCTTGTGCTTTGATAATATGTAAAACTACCGACTCATCTAAAAGGTTAAAAAAACTATTAAAGACTGTAACATAAATGTTCATAGACTTGAATTCTTTATGTATAGCAGACACAAAATTATAAAAAAATAATTTACATATCATAACGAATCAAAAATAGAATAACAAATGCACTCATACTCATCTTTATATGTTCTTTCTTGAGAATGATGGGATCTCTATAAACTATTAAATATGTGTATAACGAAAAAAGAGCGAATCAAAATAAAGTTATTTTGGATTACATGTTTTCATTTGTTGTTACTCTTCAATACTGTTTGATTTGTATGGACTTCATCGGTTGTGAATGCCTAAAATTGAGCCACCAGGAATAATCTAGATTAAGCAATCCATTGTTCTAACTGTGTAAGAATGAGATTATGAGCCCAAGTCTGCTTCCTTGTGTTCACAGATTAACCATCTGGCAAAGGTAATTTGGTGAAGGCAAACCTCCATTTGTGCATTTGTAACCTGTTTGATGAACAAATTAGATCAATTAATCTGATCTAAGTAAAAAAAAAGCCCTATTTTTCCCGTTATTCTCTTGCTCAGGAGCATCTCCGGTCCTTACCAAAATTAAAATTTGGGTAAAAAATCTTCTCCATTGCTATATTCAAATTCATACCAAATTCAAAGAAACTCAAATTTTCATTCAAATCTAGGGAGACTCAAACTTTTATTCAAATCACCAATTGTTATATTGCATTGTTCGTTTAAAAATTCAATGGTTATATTCTATCGTCATTTAAATTTGGGTTTATCTTCTTTTAACTTTGAATTTTTTCATTGGAATGGTTTGTATCAAATCAAGTTATTTACTCAAATTTTAATAAAAAATTTAAGTTAAAGTTAGAGATAACTCAACTCACCTAGTGTTGTATTCAATGCTCCCTATCCCAAGCCAGAATAAAGGAGAAGGATGGTTGCGTTAAGTAACCGACAGCTGGCGTAAAACTTTGTCGGATCCACTATAATGAATTAAAGTTGGAGATGCTAAAACCCTATTTCTAAGCCTTCCTCTCCTCCTCTTGAGTCATTTTAGGATAAGAAGAGAGAGACCGACTTCATCGACTTCTAATGTCTGTGCGGAATGCAACCTTGCTCGATTCTGGTTATGAATCAAGAAATCGTTTGATTGCATTATAAGGAGATTTAAAGATTCAAATTGCATTAAATGTCTGTAATTCAATTTCTTATTCGGTTAGCATCTAATTCGATTCTACACCACAGATAAATGTAAAACATAATGATCTTAAAATTCTTTCAGAAACAGCGAACTTAGTCATGGGTTGAGTCAGAAGTATAAGAACCTGAAAGAGCAAGATCTCAAATCTTGGGAGGTCAGTATTTAGAGGCAACTTCATGGTTCCCAGAGACACTCCATCCTCATCTTCGTCGGCCGACATTTTTCCATCCTTTACCGGCGATGCCTTGCATATAAAAGTCAGATTCATGTGGCCTGAATATTGATCATTAAGCCAAGACAGCGTACCATTGTTTTTTCCAGCGAGGAACACAAGTGAATGAGGAACTCCCCTTGAAGTTGAACATTGCATATAGGGACTATTAGGTGTTAGCTGGTGGAAGAGTTGCCTAAAGGTAATGGAAGCCATGTCTTTCACAGAGAGAGAGAACAGTTGCAGTTGCAGTTGCAGTTACATGTTAACGGGAACACGATAACTGGGACTTGAATAGGATAAGGTATGCTTTTGGTATGTAGTTGCTAAATTTTGAGGTGGGAAAGGGCTCGACTTTAGTGTCCTCAATAGTAACGTCGAGCCAAATTTTACGAATTCGAATGGAATATGTTGACTTTGCTTTTTCAAATAAATTTAAAAAATTATTCAAAAGGAGCTTAAAAGGGAATTGACTTTGTTAACTTTATTTTTTCAAACAAGTTTAAAAATTTATTTAAAACGAGTCAAATCTGAACAGAATTTGAATAGATTAATTATTTTACATAAAAACAAGTCAGAACTTTTCTAGACTTGTTTTTCTAAACGATTCTAAAAAATTGTTTAAACTAGACTTATTTAAAAAATGAATCAATCCAGAATAACTCGATTCAATTATCAATGTTACTCAAAAGTTTTGAGCTTTTTGGTTTTATTTCAAATTTTATCATGCTTATTCAAACCGAGCAAATCCTAAATCAATGCAATTATTGAACGAGTTATGAGTTTCAATACTAAATTTAACCCATTTATAATTCGATGAATGTATTAAATTAAATCTCAAAATTAAGTTCAAATAATATTTTTTGTGCAAACACTCGTCATCGTTCAGAAATAGCATTAGAAAATGTTGAATTTTGCAGAACTTATGGAACAAGCTTGACAAAATTTGTATTCATAAACTCATCAAATGTTTTATTTCACACTAAATAAATCCCATCCAAGAGACCCACTTTCTAGGCACAATCTTACACTAGGTAAAAAAAAGGAAGCGGGTATTTACCAATAAATGCCAATAAAATGAAGGTGAAAAAAAGAACAACCAATGCAAGATTCCCGGCATTGCAAGATCTGGAGACCTATATGAATGTAAGTATGGATCTTAAATTCAAGACACGAGAAATTATCCAACTGCTGCAATCTATAAGTGTTCTAGGAGATCCAGAACTAGTTGTCAAAAACCAACACATTTCATACAATGTAATGGCAGATATAACTCCCTAGTCGGTTAGTCTTTACAACGCAAAAATTGCCCCCGAGTCATTCAGAGGAACTGGAAGAACAGGGGTTTTGTTCTGGGTTGCAGAGGAAGTCACGTACCCTGGACTGTCCATTTTCTTAGCAAGCTTCAAGCCTGGGAAGGAGACTTCGCCAGGCATCAGCAATACCATTCGCCAGGCGTGCCTGTCCCTTGGCAAATTCATGGAAAGCAAGACCCATATCTAATGTTTTCTGTTCTTGGAATCGCACAATCTCCTCATTCATTAGCTGCACGATTACCTCGAACCTTCTTGTTGCTTCCTCACTATCGCCCTTCAACTGTCACAAAACCAGTGTTAGCCAGACAGAGAAGATTCCAGAAGTGGACACCAGAAAATTTTGCGACTGACCAACCTCTTCATACTCATACTCGGCATCGAGCATCCTTTCTGAGCGTGTTAGCTTGAGTTTGTTCCTGCAAATGAATAAATACACATAAACTACCAACTCTATGCTAAATACCCACAATCTACCAACTCTAGATTATAAATTTTGAAATATTCAGGCCCTAAGCAAAGAGTGAATTCTGTTTTAAAACCATAATACCTATAAACATCAAAGATCCCAACTGTGATAACAAAAAGTGTCACATGAACATTCATTCATGGTTTTCCAGGTTTGTGAACATGCTCAAGGCAATAATAAGCTTGATTGAGCTAGGGTGATGGGTTCAATGATCTCCTAATCTTGTTTGGGCTTCGCTTGATACAGTTGATGAACTGAGCTCAAACAAGTTAACACTTGCAGCTCGCTTTGTGTGCAATGATACACAGATGTTCATGGAATGAAACAGCATATTGTCTGCCTGCTCATTAATAAAACACTATTGCTTATTGTCACACCTAGGACATCACTAATGGAGGTCACAAACTAAGGAGGCATTAGAGGTGAAAGCCAGATTTTATGTTTGCATATCAAATACATATTCAACGGGCTACTATACAGAAGAAAAAAGATAAACTGGATAAGTTGACCAAAACCATACAGATCTATTTCCTTCAGCTTCATTGTTTCACCGAGTTCGTACTGCTGCCTGAAAGCATTGGCTCTCTCTGCAATGGTAGACTGTTTCAGAAAACAAAGGCAATAGCATTAGAATCTATAAAATAAAAAAATAAAAAGCAATAAACAACAAACTTCATATGCTAACACTAATTGAAAATCGCAGATGTTAAGTTTTATACAAACTTCAACCTATAAACAACAAACTTCATTCTTGTTTTCTCCTTCTATTTGAGTTATATAGAAACCAATGTTTTAGCCAAACCAGGCCAAGAAAATTCAAACTGATCAGAAAAAGAAAAAAAAAATCACAGTTTCAAGGTCAGTGGATGATTCAGTACGTAGATGTCAAATACTTTAGAAAGACAAAAACCTAATAACTCACTTTGATGGATTGCACAGCACGAACATAGTCCTTCAAAGGTTCTTCAAAATTCATCAAGAGGTGGTAAGCCTGGATGATGGAGCAAAGGGAGTGACATCATCAGAAAGACCTCTTCCGTCTTATTGAAATCAGAAAACAATTTCCCATAAGCGGATGATCTTTAAATTGAAACTTACCTCCCTTTCAAGTTTAACTGATAACATCTCCGATTTTGCTCCAAGCTCAGAAAATGCCTTCCCAAGAGCATTTCCTTCACAAGAACCAAGAAGCTTGACTGCCTTTCCAAAATCAGATAGCGATTGTCCCAACTCTGTTGAAATACATCAGAACACTCAGACTATGTGCATCTATTGTTCTTTCTATATTAGGATGGGGAAAGAAAAATCTGGCATTTACCTCATGCAAAAGTTGGTGAAGAACACGAATATCATGAACTAGTTTATTTGATATCCTTGAATCAAAACAATAAAAAAACAACAAAAAAAATAAAAAATTAAAGTCCTTTGTACCTCTGTGCCTCTTTACCAAACGATAGGCATGCTTCTGAGCTTCAGCTAGGTGATCTTCAAGCTCAAAGATGTAATGTCTCAGTTTCTCATACTCGGGATTTGATTCTTCAACTGGCTTTTCTTTTCCAAGAACAACATCACTCACTTTCGATTGTACGTCCTGCCATATTTAAAAAAGTCATTGTCAATGCCCAGCCACGGAAAGAGAGAGAAGTGCAATTTCATCTTTTCAAAAGAACGCTAGCCTTGTTAGAATGGTTCTTACAGCCCAATTGGCATCTGGATGAAGACTTACTGGGAAATTTAGTAAGCTCGGAAATAGTATAATGAAATTGTGATGTGCAAGACCAGGACCAGACCAGAGGAAGAAGGTCACTTCAAAACAACCAATCAGCCATATATCATCAATCTTTGACCTATACTATGCCACAGGGGCAGCAAATTCCCCCTAATGTTGTGTGCAATTGTTCTTTCATCACATTTTGGACCTTCACTTATAAGGCCACAATGACCTGGGTTGAGACTGTATTGTGTTGTTCAGACTCAGTTTGACTAGGGTGTGCTCAAACTTAATTAGATCAGCAGTTGAGACTTCAGGTGGGTATCCAACTCTCCCAATTCTTATCCTTTTCATTTCCTATGTTTTTTGTCAGATAAACAAAATATGCCCCCTACTACTTAAACCAAGACATACCCTGAAGATTTGCATCAAATCAGCTGGCTTCTTCTTAAAAATCCCACTCTCCTGAGACCTTGATCTATCCATTGTCTGTAGAAAAGGCAAACATAAAATTAGACACTGACACAACTCAAAAGTAAAAAACAGGAATAACAAAAATTAAAACATAAGAAAGACAGAAAATTGCACAATAGTCATAATGAATACATGCTTAGACAACCCTATCTTCAACAAAATTTTCCAAACAAGGCATTTGGACAATATCAAGAACTACTAAGTAACATAAATGCTTCGTCAACAAAATTACTTCTCAACATTGTGGAAATTGAGCACCAACAGAGTCTCGCCAATAAAGACCAGCAGGTGGTGGTTCAATTGAACTCCTCCTACTGTCTGGCTAAAGATGAATATCCATGTCTTTTCATGTGGTGATTCCCGGGTTTTAGTATAACTGGTTTCTATAGCTGGTGGGGGAAGACTTGGAAAGCAGATAACAACCACATTTCAGTTCTAGGTATTCCACCTCGTCTCCTCAGCCCTTGAGATGTTCCAATTTACCTAGGAAAATGTGATGAATTCCTTTTTGGTGCTCCAGGAAAATTTCTGGGTTAAACATTGGAGCACCAAAAAAAAAAAATCATGGGAAAACAAGACAGCATGTTTCTTGGTGCAATCCCGAGAGTAGCCACCTTGTGCGTGCAAACAAATACCAAATTTAGGTTTGCACTCAATTTTCTCTCCCCCCTACCCTTTTTTTTCTCCCCTTCCCCCCCTCCCCCTTTTTCCCAAAAAAAAGTACCAATAATTGAGAAAACCAACATCAAGTAATGGCGCTATGAAATAATGAAATTTAATTTGAACATCATTTCCCCAAGGAGGTGGCTTCGCACAAAAAAAGAAGCAGATAAACCCACAGAGTTCAAACAGAATACAAGTAAAAGGCAACCAAAGTTGCGGTGTCAGCACTACAATTTGTTTCTACATACCCAGGACATGCTAAATCTATCAAGAGAGCAAGCTGGTCTATTTCCCAACAATTTCTGCCCCATGAGGATCTAGGATGTCACTGAATAGTGTACTAAAAGACAAAGAATGTAGAGAATATGAGTGTTTTAAGCAAACAAGTTTATACCCCCAGTGATTATAAAGCACATGTTGGATGACAACAGATATCCCAGACAACATCACGCTGGAATCAGAATACAAAACTTATGCAAGCAGAATGGTCATCACTTTCTGGTATCTTGAAGGTTGGTCTACCTCACTTTTCATTGTGAGGGAGATGGCATTTTTCTTTCTGATGACATACCCCCCCCTCGCCCTTTGTACCTCCTTTATAGTTGAATAAGTCTGTTTCTATCTTCAACTAAAAAATCCTAAATATCCGCCAGATAGGACATTTGGAGTTACAGATTTCATTTCTTTTATTACATTTTCCAAAACTAGTATGAAGATTTAAAGAGATCAATGAGAATAACATCACAAAAAAAGCTTATATCGAACAGAATACCAGATACATTAATTTCTTCTGGTCTTCCATTCATTATTAAAGCAGTTAATGGCACTCGTTTGCGATGCAATCTAGGACAATTTTTCTGTTTGGCTCCTATAGCACAACAATCTTATAAACAGTTGCTTTTCTTATGGTACAAGTAAATCTCATCAACCAATTCAATAAATAGGATTATTTGACATTTTCCACATAGTTTCAGTGTAACCAAGGCCACGCTATTTATTTTGACATTTTTCACATAGTTTCAGAGTAGACAAGGCCACCCCATTTTTTTTGACATTTTCCACCTAGTTTCAGAGTAGACAAGGCCACAAGGGAACTCATTATCCTATTTAAGCACCCAAGGTTGATATTATCACCTGTTCATCTGCTTGCAAAAAGGTTCTCAGATCCTCACTTTGCTGTAGCTCATGATGTGAAGCTATCCGGTTAATAAATATATCCAATGCTTGACGCCTCATTTCAATGAATTCAGCACTGAATTTAAACTTCTCTGCGTAAGAGAGACTGAAGTTAGTCACTTTAAAATTTCAAAATACTTCAAACAAAATCTGTATTCAAATATGTCTGCTTCAAATTACTCCGATGCAATGCCTAGGCAAATAAAATCATGGTAACAAGATCCTTGATAAAGCCATAAGTAACGTGTCTCAACTCAACAGTAAAGAAAATCATGACTGTACAGATCCAGATATAACGAAATTGTAAAGAACTTATCATTTAGCACATTTTGAATTATAGGCCTTAAACTTTTTCCTTATACCAGCTGTGCGTTATTATAGTTTTACTCTTTATTTTTCATATTTCTCCTTTTACTAGTACGCTTCAATACTCCAAAACTCATTACTAAAAAGCCTTATTTTCCTGGGACTCAAAAAATTTTCATAACTACAATACTAAAGACATTCAAAATCAATCACTTATAAATAAAATAAAGGAAATTCGGTGTAGGCAGACTCTTTACAATGTGATTTGATAGTGCCTAGATTGAACTTTACTTCTTTACGGGTAAAGTGGTAAAGAACAACGAGATAAACCATTTGTGAAAATTAAGAACCCAATGTGACAATAGAGTTAGAAACTTTATGCACCTAATAGCCTACTAGATATATGTTCTAGAGACTTATGCTACATGAATAGAGATTCGAAAGGAAATTTGTATCTAGCTATACTACTGAGAAGAAGAGTACAGAATAATTTGACCATCAAATAGGAGTCAGCAGATGCATCAGAAGACTTAACTGGAAATAAAGAGAAACTTCTATTTTCATGAATGATGTAGTTTGACATTGGCTAGCTTGGATTTTTTCGTGCTTACTTGTGGAAGACTACAAGAGTCCAAAAGGATTTGAAATGAAACAGTTGAATTGTATGTGTGTACTGTTAAAAAAAATGGTGTGTGTGTGTGTGTATAGGTAGGCTAAAATTTTCTTTCTATCACAATATTGAAGGAATATCAAGTTAACAGAGTAGTTAAGGATAAATTTGAAAAAACAAAAATAAGACCAACCATCATGTCAGGACATAATTGCTTTTATAATATTGATTAAGGATAAAATAGGAAATCAAAAATTTTCTCAGCTAACATTTACAAGTAAAATAGATATTGGATCTTTATACTTGATCTCCACTGCAGTATCCATGATTTTTGTACATGTGTAATGTCCTTAGAATTAAAACAGGAGATAATAATTCAAGCCACTGTGGGGCTTGCAAAACTAGGAAGCAGTCATTTCATTAAGACAATAACAACTTTGAACAAGAAATGCTAGACTGGTATATCAAAATGTTTGTCCCATTGACCAATTTTAATTTTGTTCTAAGAATGGCTTTTGAGATTTTTCTGAAGCAGTAACTAAGGAGTTTCAAGATATCACTTTTATATTACTACAACATAATTGGAATGCGGTTTGAAATTGATGGATTTTATATTACAATTTTCTTTTCTTTTGTATTTCGGTTGAATATGTTATCCATCATTTTGTGCTTTGACAATTTTCTTTGAAATAAAACTTAGTTTTTTATGAATTAGATGTGTTCTGAAGTGAGAAGATGAGGCGTTGAAATGAAAAACCAAGGGTAGTCTTCGATGGAGTGTGTTCTTAAGCTTTTTGCTCGCCCTTAGGAATTCTGTTGATGTTTGTTACTAAGAAAAGTGTCAATCATTAATGGGATGCCTTGCACCGTGTTCATGTGTGCTTATATGCCAAACTGCCTGGGCATCACATTTATGCCCCATGCACTGATTCATATTAAATAATATACGTTCAATTGGATAGGATAATTATGAATGAATCACAAGGATAGGCAAGGCTCCTAGGACTATTAGCTGGTTTCGCCACCCATTCAATACTATTCGAATCTCTCTAGGATGAGAAACTAGGTTGAACAACAAATCTTTCATCTAAAGGTGCAGGCGATTCACTCAGTTTCCCTGCTAACTCACGAATTGCAAAATACACGTCAAAGTAACCAACGGCGTGAGGATATATCTGCTCTCGTACGCAATGATTCCCAATAAAAGATAGCAACTTTCAGGTTTAAATACAAAAAAAGTTTCTTTGCTTGTTACCTACGGTGTTCTTCTCAGGAAGAGGAGGGATAAAGATACCCTTGTACTTCTCAAAAAGACGGTCATGCAACCAATCAAAATCACTAAAACGCCGAATAACAATCTTCTCTGGTCCTTGGTACTCGGGTAAATTTGTCTGCCACAAGAAGTTCCAAAATCCAAACCATTCAAATTGCAAATTGTGTAAGTAGTTCAATTTGAATCTTCCAATTTTAGGTCAAAATACAAAAGTCATTGTTCAAAAATTAGAAACTGATAAAGATGCATGAATAAGAATAAAGAAAAAAGAAGAACAAGAACAAGAAGATCACAATCCTTCACTATTTCAATCGAAATAAAAAGTAATTACATCCACAGCTGACTATTGATATCAATTAAAGCACTTAATACCAAAAAAGAAGACAGATGGGTGCTACATAAAGCAAAATAGTGACAATTTCAAGCAAAACACACCATGAGTTATCCATGACAACAAGCCAAGAAAAAGTGTCTTTCCAACAGAAAAGAAATACCACTAGTTATCCATAGAGGAAAAGCTGTGATTTACAGCTATAGTCAACTGAGGATCAGATATTACATTTCCAACAGAGGCCTAGCAACATCTGTAAACACCTACTGGACACAAAAGAAAAGGTTGAATTTTTGCATTTTGGCTCCTCAAAAGAACTAAAAGTATTCTATATTGTGATTGGTGGGTGCATGTCTTTTTCATATTTATTTTTTTCAAATCTTGAAGAACCATTGTTCCACCCATAATACGAGCACAAAAACTCTAGGATGCTTCATAAATTTACTTTCTTAAAAAAAGAAGAAGAAAGGGATATGTCAAGTTTATGGCAACACTATAGAATGTAGTTCGATCCCAGAAAGGTGAAACAAATCATTTACAACATCAAAAGCCCCATATCAACACCAACGTCAACAAATTGATTCGATTGAATTTTTTATTAGAGACAAGACATGTCACAACCAAGCAGAATAACAATTCAAAATATTTGATGGGGGCACTAAGGGATGGATTGTATGGGTTGAAACTTAAGATTCAGGTTAATTTTGAGGAAATAAAAAAATGAATTCTTTTTTGTAATGGTTGATTTTTGGACTGCCTCTCAAATTTTGCATTCATTACTGGAAATATTAGCTTTTGGCTATTGAAGAACTATTGCAAAAATTGAAAAACTTATCCCTATTCCCTCTCTTCTCCTTCTTTCTTCTTACTTCTTATTCTCTTTCTTTTCCCTTTTTCTCTTTGTGCGAAAGCCAAAAGTTAGGTCTCTGCTTAGTTCATCCCTCCATGCACAGTAAGGACCAAACAAGGTAAAGGCTTAACATTCTACATTGAATCTAATAGTGGAGAAAAATATCAAAATTTGAAGAAATTTCTTATGCATAGGCAACAAATAAATCATCTGATCCTGATATCAATATCTTGTTGGTGAAAACCTATACATATGCGCTAGAAATTATGCACGGGGTAAAGCTGCAATAGAGTCGAGAATATACTGAGCTGCCGTTTCTGAATAAAGGCTTTTCAAGAACTTGCCTTCAAATCACACTTATTCTATAAGAACACACGCAACTGTACTTCAGGTTTATGACAGAGATGTTCAAATGAGTCCCCTAAATTTTCATCTATATACACATATTCGCACACATAAATAAATATATACACAGGTGTAATAGCGATTAATACGTTCTAATTCGATAAGTCATTAAGACTTGTCGAGAATGAAATTATCAATACTGAAGCAATTCATACATTGACATTTTGTGCTTATTTCAAAATATACACACAAATTATATAAATTTACCATGGTGATGACTTTGTAGGAGATATACGCTTGGACGCCATTGCCCATTTTAGCAGGATCCGTGACTGAAACTGACAGATATGGCGGTTGTGAAGATGGAGATCTAGGGCTTTGTGATGACCCCGATGAAGTTCTTTGCTGTTGCATATAAACAACAATTGCGTCAAAAAAGATATGTATCTGTGTGTGTACATATAAACAGATAGCTTAATTGGGTGGTGGCAGATTCAAGATTACCGTAGTGTTCATGGTTACTCTTGGAATCGGAGATCAGGGTATGAAATATGTGGAGAGATGATCGTTCGAAAGTCGGAGTAAAGATGATGGAGAGAGGACTAGACTACGCCGGAGTGCGCCGTTTACTGTTCCCGGCACCCGTCGTCTCGATTGAGTTCTGTAACTAATGGTAGATTGGACACGTTGACGTTCGAAGAATCTTTCCCTTTTAAAATCATCAATTTACACCTGAATAATTAAGGTGCGTTTAATAACGATTTTGTTTTTATATTTTTTTTATAAAAAAAAATAAATTAAAATTTTATTTTTGTTGCAATAAAAATTAAAAATATAAAATATATTTAGTAGTCATTTATATTTAAAAAATTATAAAAATAAAAATAAAAAATATGTTTGATATTATCCAAAAAATTCACTGCCCAACACCCCCACCAACCACCAACAGCCGACCATCAGCCACCCAACACACAACCGACCATCAGCCACCCACCACCATCGAAAATTACCACCATCCCCACCTCGAAATTCACCACCACCGAAAATCCATCCCAACCAGCACCACCCCTGAAATCCACCCCAATACCCATCACCCACAGCCACCCAACCCACCCCCATCCCCGAAACCCACAACCACCCAAACCCACCCCCACCACTATCCCTGAACTCCACCCCAATCCCCATCACCCACAGCCACCCAAGCCATCCCCCATCACCGAAATCCATAGCCACCCATGACCCAACCCACCACCAACCAAGCCCACCCTTATCCCCGAAAATCCACCACCACCCAAATCCACCATTCCTCCCCCAAAATCCATCAACACTACAAAAATAGAAAAGATTGAAAGAAATAAAGAGAGAGAGACCAGATCCTTCAGTGGCGATAGGTTTGAATCCTTCTTCTTCGTGGCTTCGGCTTCGGCATCAAGAAAGAGAGAGGCGACAGAGAGGAGTGAAAAGGAAGAGAGAGAGATGACCTATTATACTCGAGCAAAACAATCCATCTTTTGTTATTAAGGAAGATTGATGTCCAGAACTCATTAAATCTTTTTTACCATCGCGCATTTGTTTTTTCTTTTTGATGTTTTTAAAAATATTTTTTTTAATATTTTCAAATTTTAGTCTTGTTTACAAACCAGAGTAATTAAAAAAAAATAAAAACATTCATCAAACGTGTTTTTATTTTTTTTTGGGCCATAAAATAAAAACAAAAATAAAAAAAAATGAAAACAAGCGTTTACCAAACGCTACCTAAAATTTTCAAATTATACTCTTAATATTATAAAATAATTATAATGTGATCCTCAAACTAATTTTTATTGCAATTTCCATCAAATTTGCTATGTGCACCCCACATTGAATGCAATAAGATTTTGTTGAAAATGAGAGGAAAAGTTAGTGTGAGTAGGAACGGCAGTGGACCAAAGCGAGGGCGGGGGTGTAGTCTCCATCCCCATACCCGCTTAAAAAAACTCCGTTCATCCACAGTCCACCCTCTTTAACGGATATAATTTTTATCTCCATCCTCGACCGTGGGTAAATTTTTAATTCCTGTCTCAATCCCCACTTCCCCTGTATCCACACAAACCCAAGCCCAAACTTAAGCCCAAGCCCAAGTCCAAACCAACATAATCCAAAATTCTAAATAAATTCAACATTTTAAATAATCCAACAACATTGTAAATAATTTAACATAACATAAATGTAGCATAACATATTCGAATACAATACAAACAACAAATGTTTAAAATACTACTTCAATTTGATATAATTCAACATAACACAAACAACTTAATGGTGGTATAATCATCTCAATCAACTCAATCATCGCTTAACACCAACTCAATCATGTCTTAACACCAGTTTCACACCAACTCAATCATCTCTCAACAACATCAATGGTGGTAGAATCTACTTCTTCAACATCATTTTCATATATAATTAAAAATAATAATTAAATTATTCCAAAGAGAAATTTTCAACTAAAATGATATACCTTATCATCAATATCAAGATCCTCCAATAATTTGTAGATTTTCAGGCCCGTTGAAGTAGATGAACCTAACAAAAAAAAATAATGCATTAGTCAAACTTTACCCCCCAAAAAAATTATGATGCACATACAAATAATATTTCATTATCTCATTGTTCAACACATAACCAACTTTAAGAGCATATTAAAGCCTCTACTATAGTTCGAAAAAGTCTATTGCGATGTGGACTGATCACCCTCCCACTTATGCTAAAAACAGATTCCAAGGCAATGATAGAAATAGGAATAGCAAAAAAATCTTTATCAATCATTTGGAGCAGGGGATACTTGGGACCACTTGTCTTCCAGAAAGATGGTATATCAAAATCTAAAGTTTTTTGGCATCATACCGTCTTCTAAGTAACAATCCAACTCAGATCTCCCACGTGCTTTTGTTATGTCTCTTATTTGTATAAACTTATCTAAATTAGAGAGATCATCAATTACTGGGTAGTTGGAATCAATATCTAATTGAAGAGGGTGGAGGAGAAGGTTGCGATTCATAATCACTTCCTTGTCTCGCTTCATATTCGCCAACCAATTCCAAGCAAAGTTCCTTAATCCTCGTCATTTCATTTAAAACTTTCACACCTCCATACATTTTTTCATAGTAATACTCCAAAATTCTCTACTTATACCGTGGATCTAAAACAGTGGTTATTCTCATAACACCATGAATCACACTCCAACATTTGTTAAACTTTTTCAACATATTCAAGGTCATATCTTTTATCACGTCTTTAGAACTTTGAAGTCACTTAGATATTTCTACTCTTATCCCACAAATAGTTGAAAAGTATACATTGATAGTAGGATACTTTGTACCTGAAAATAATTTAGTTGCAGTACGAAACAATCCCAATTTTTCACAAATCTCTCATGCCACCTCCCAATCATCTTCAGTCAGACAAATCTTGTAATGAGAATCTCAATATTTCAAGCGAGCAAACACATCTCTATAAATCAAACTAGTTTGAAGCATGAGAAAAGTAGAGTTTCGTCGAGTTTTAACATCAAGAGCAAGCTTCTTGTTACTTGGAATATGTATCTAATGAGCTGCCTCTTCAAATTTTTGCACTCTATTGGGAGATGCTGTCCAATAAGCAACACTATCACGAATTCTTTCAATACCATCTCTAATCACATTCAAACTATCTTAGACAATTAAGTTGAGAATATGTGCACAACAACGCATATGGAACAACCGATCATGCAATATTAATGAATCAAATGGAAGTTTATCCATTAAAATAGCCACAATTGCATCATTAGCGGTACAATTATCCACGATCAAAGTTATCAACTTTCTATCAAGGTTCCAATCTAAAAAGCAATCCATCAAACACTCCACAAGCACTTCCTTGGTATGTGGATAAGGCACATATAAAAATTTAAAGATAAAAAATAACATATATTAATGGAAGATCATTACTACCGTACAATAAATAACACATGCTAATGAAAGATCATTAGTATCTTATAATTCGACTCTATAATGTCCAAGAATTGTCAATAAAGTGTGTGGTGATTGTCATGTATCCCTTTCTTTGATTGTTTGAGTACCACATGAACGTAGTGATATCAACTCTACTTTTTATTTTTTTTCAACAACTTCATTGTCTTTTCCTTTTCGGTCTTATAAATTTGAAAGATATCATTTTTGAGAGTGTTGCGAGATACCATTTTGAACATTGGTTGAAGAGTGTGACAATATTTTTGAAATCCGTGATACTCAACCATACTAAGAGGATATTCATGCAATATAATCATATTGGCAAGATCCCTCCTCCTCGCCTCTTGAACAAATCGCCAGTTCTCCATTATTTTCTCGGTATCTTTCTTGGATTGGTTTGATACCAATAAACATTGCTTCAAATTTTTATATTTCTTCCTCGGACAACTTTTAAGATGGTCATGCAAGTCGCTAGTTCCATTCATAACACCACCAACAAGCATTTTCTTACATTCATTGTACTCAACCTTTAACTTACCATCAACTATTTTCTTCTTGAAATGATCTCACACAATTGATCTATGTCTATCTGTTTTACCAAGAGTCATTGGAGTTGAGTTGGTAGTTTGATTTTCATCAATCGAGATTGAAAGTTGGTTGCTTTTACCCGGTGTTGCAGACGTTTAAGGAGTTGACATATTATTTCTCATTGTTTCTCCTTCTATTGTTTGTAATCAACTACATGTAAAAATCAACTAAGTGTAAACCAATAGAACCCAAGTGGAAAAGTTAGACTGGGATGTAATTCCCTAAAATGGATTAATGGGAATTATTTTAGTAAAATCTTATTAAACCATAAGGGTGATGTAAATGTTCAGACAATAACAGTCAAATGCAAAAACGTTTAGACAANTGGGGTTAACAATTCCGTTTTTACTAAAAATCAGGATGATTAAATCCGTTTTTTTTTTTTTAAAAGTGTGGTCAACAAAAGCGGAATCAATAAATCCACCTTTAAATAAATTTTTTTTNCGCTAGTTCCATTCATAACACCACCAACAAGCATTTTCTTACATTCATTGTACTCAACCTTTAACTTACCATCAACTATTTTCTTCTTGAAATGATCTCACACAATTGATCTATGTCTATCTGTTTTACCAAGAGTCATTGGAGTTGAGTTGGTAGTTTGATTTTCATCAATCGAGATTGAAAGTTGGTTGCTTTTACCCGGTGTTGCAGACGTTTAAGGAGTTGACATATTATTTCTCATTGTTTCTCCTTCTATTGTTTGTAATCAACTACATGTAAAAATCAACTAAGTGTAAACCAATAGAACCCAAGTGGAAAAGTTAGACTGGGATGTAATTCCCTAAAATGGATTAATGGGAATTATTTTAGTAAAATCTTATTAAACCATAAGGGTGATGTAAATGTTCAGACAATAACAGTCAAATGCAAAAACGTTTAGACAATAATAGTCAATAACAGTCAAGGGTAAAATCAATAGTCATTCAAATCAAATGATATGAAAAGGCAAAGCAAAATATATCATTTTCAAGCAATTTGAGAATACTTCTAGCCTGCATAGTCAGCTTCAGCCAAGGAAAATACCTCTTGATTAGTGTGGCTTGAGAATACCTCTTGATTTTTCTTGACTCACGTTTTCTTTCTTTCTTTCTGTCCAAGGAAAATTTTATACAAAATAAGAAGACAATAAAACACAACTATTCTTAAGCAAACTTACACAGAGTGTACAGGACAAACAATCTGATCAAACAATCATAAATATGAGGCATACCATAAGGGTTCTTCCAGGCAGAATTAAGATTCTCCCTTTTTAAAAAAATTATCAGGGATTTGAAACACGGACCAAATATATTACTCATCACATCTCCTCATTTCATAAATCAATTGATTTTGTCAGATTTTGGAATCAAAATTAACCAAAAAAAGTGCAAACAAAAAAAAAGAGTAAAGGCAATAAAGATATAACAAATATGTAGAAATCATCAGAGACTTAAATACAGGGAGAATGGGCTTAAATTTGACTTCAAAAAAATGTTATCAAGGTATAATTTTTGTTATGAAATATGATGAGACTTTTGTTCTGGTACAGACAAAGTCAATCAGCCAACAACCTTTACATTACTACAATGGCTTCAAAGGCTAATCATTTTACATCAATGTCTCTCTCTGGTAAACGTTCAGATAAGTGAGAATGAAAGTTCATATTAAATTTAAAGGGGATTAAGCCATCATATTATTGCAGCTTTTTTTTCTTATCAAATGATTTCAAATCACCAAAACAAAAAAACAAGTTAAAGCTTAATAGCAATAAACGAAGAGACAGATACATTGAGGAAGAGAGAGAGGTGAACTTTTATTAGCTGAAACGAATAGCCAAAACATACCTATCAAACTTCGTGCATGAATTCACGTTTTAACGTATGCCTGTGCATATGAACTGGGCTACCCAACGAAGAGATAGATGTACTGGGCAAATGAA